CGTTCCTCGTTTCCCCCTGATTATTGAAGGTTTTATTGACTAAATTCTTGCATGTAGGTTCTTCTAAGAATGCTTCCCAACTATCACCATCACGTGAGGTCATATGAGAATACACTCATAACAATGTTTTTTGGGCTTCACAGAATCAAATCATCAAGTGGTCAAATGGTAATAACAACAGTAGAGTTCTCTACTTTCATATGCCAGAGAATTTTTTTACCTCAATCAATACACTTCATTAAGGTGGTTTCACTGAATTTACCTGAATAAAATTATTGTTAGATACTTTGATTAAGGACTATTTTTTTCATTTCTTATTTCCTGTTATAACAAACGATTCCTTCAAAACTAGAATGCCTCTTGAGCTAACAACCATGAACCATGTTCTCTTGCAGTTTTGCTTTGTTGTCATGGGAAATATGTTTTGCACTGAGTTAAGGATTCATAGAAGATTTGACTTGAAAGGATCATCACTAGGGCGTTCTGCCGACAATGTAGAAATTGATGAAACACAACACTTGAAGATTTGGATCTCAATTACTGTTTTTATTTGGAAGCTTCTTGGCGAGAAGCTTTATTAAGGTAGCTGATGAGTTTGTAACTTTTATGCCATCGTGTTATCTTACTTTTTCAAGTTGACATATTATCAACATATCCCCATCTTTATTTTAGTTAACTACTTCACAATGATTGCTCCAAGATTTGGTTTACCCCACAGTACTATTAAGACATAACTAAACAGCTTTAACGAAAATAATTTTGTTTCTTTTCTATCCCGCCGGAATGGCATTCTTATATAATTGGTTTACCTTATTTCATTTATATTATATTTATGCAGACAAATAGAGATTGATAGTGAATTTTTGGAAGAACAATGCATTATGGATTATACCTTTTGCTTGGTGTGCATTATCGAGCACCTCAGCATTTGAGGTCTCTCATGTCCTACAACAGAGTGGACGGCCTAGGGAGTGTTGCAGAGGAAGGTGTGCATTTTGAACATTTGATCTTCTATTGGCAGTTTCTTCTGCTCCTTTATATTTTATTCAGCACACCATTTTCTTTTGCAGATTATACGAGATAAGTGTCTTTCAAGAATTCACAGTTGTTGACATAATAAGATAGCCAAATTTGTGCAAACAGAAAATTATTACACCATGTTGACAGTCACAAAATATTTAAGATGTAATTGTTACAGACAAATAAAACAGAAAGATAAGATGGGAAATTCTATTCACATCATTTACATACATGTTGACACCTCTGATACAACACAGAATATAGAGGTCAGATATATATCATATAAAGGACATATTTGAAACAACATCGAATAAGGCATGGGGTTGATACCAATTAAGCTCACACTTTTGGACTTAATATTCTGTGATGGAACTATTGTAACACCCCCAACCCGTACCCAACCCGAATACGAGTATGAGGTGTCACATTGACTTTTCAAACTTTGACTCTTGACAAAATTCAAGGAAAATTTAAAACTTTCATTAAAATAAAGGTAATCTATTTACATAAATTGACCAAAATAACCAAAATCGATCAGAGCATTCATAACTGACACTTTTCTTACATGCCAACACACTATACACAATAAAATACATATTTTATCAATTACTTCTGATATGGTCTTCTAGTAATGATGATGTTCTTGCCACCCCTATTTATGCTCTTCTGGATTCTTGTACCTACGTGTAAATCACTTACACGCTAAGTCACAGACTTAGTGAGCATAATATAAATATATATATAGATATAACAATGCATTCATGAACATGCATTCTTACCATCTGATCATGACATTTTAATTTACATGCATCGATTACACTATAACATATATGATAGTGGCATGCACATATAAAACATATATTCTTATGTTAATTTCACTTTAATTTATCTTTGGATTGCCATGTATATTATTGAGAACAGAAGGTACGCGAGTACACTGAGGTTGTGCACAATGCTATCACCACAGCTCGAATAAAATCCCACTAGGGACACTAAATATTTGTCCCGAAAGACCACTATATCCCGAAGGACCACTGATATGTCCCGAAGGACCACTATGTCCCGAAGGACCACTGATATCCCTCGACTCTTGACATGCCAATTATACCTACAACTCTCATATTAAATAACATGGCTTAATTGTAAATACATTTCTCATTTTACATCTCTTTCATCACTGCCCATGTAAACACATAAGTCACTTCATATGATCATTTCCATTATTTCACATACCTGGAAGGATTCTTTGACAATGGCATTCATTCATATAATATCATGTTAAATCATGAATGAATTACACATGGAATCACGATAACATTAATACACATATATATGTATGTATGTGCATGAATATAGAATCATAAATTCAATTATAAGAGATAGACTTATCACAAGTCTTATCTCAATACAATTCTATCTATGATAAGCACTCACCTTAGCCTTGCTTGCTTTGACTCGATCCTACTCCTTTGATGGTTCCGGAACAAGATTACGTTCTATATCTACATAGTAATACATTTATACATATCAATATACTAATTGATATATTCTAAACTATCACTCCTTAGGCTAAAAACAAAGTTATTTTCATCTTTTAATGAAGGTATGCATCGATGCACTCTACAGCGTATCGATGCATTCTTTAACGTGTGCATCGATGCACTAGCTATGCATCGGTACACAAATCCCATTCGATGTTTGTATTTTAAGGGGTGCATCGATGCATTCCTTATTCATCGATGCACTAATGACATTCGATGTTCATTTATTTGAGAGTGCATCGGTACACATTGAATGTGTATCGATGCACACAGCTCAGAATTATTACTTTGAGCACGAAAATCCCTTCATAATCCTCTCAACACTTCCTATTTCACCTCCTTTTATGTCTCTAACTTGTATACACCTACTTAAACTAATTATTATCCATTCAATACCTCTTAAACTTAAAAATCCATTCCTCCACATAGAATTCAAGAATCTCACTCAAATTCCAGCATGTTCTAAATCTAATTCTAACACTTCATATATCTTATTAAGTCGATGACAAATCAAATTCAACCTCCAATTCTCATTATGAACTCTATTTCAAAATTCCATTCAAGAACTCATAATCTTTAATTCTTCCTACCCCTTTCATCTTGTTGTTTTGAAGCAAATTAAACTTTCCTTAAGCTTAATTAGCATCTAAGGATCAAAACCAAACTTAAATCTCAGCTAATAACCAACTAATAAAAATTCTTACCCTTAACTTGGCTCACACGTACAGAGAAGAAATGAGGAGAAGAGAAGTCTAGAAGCTTGAATATTTTCTTCCCCTCCTACACGTGGCCTCCATATATATATAACCAAATTTAATTATTTTCCCTTGCAATGACCATTCTATCCTCCAATTCCATCTTTCTTGCAATTTAATCCTATACCAAAATGCAATACTACTCAATTATTATACTTTAATCACCAAATTTTGAACTTTCTAATTTAGTCACTAACCCGATATAGAGGATGTTACAACCATATATATCAAGCATGGTACATAGCATACGCCCAAGTAATCGGGGCTATGCTGTAGTTATCTGATTCTGATACAACTTGTATGCATTTCCTACTTTTACATCATTCTGGAGGTCGATCGACTGATTTCAAAATTTCTTGGTGATAATATTTCAGAGGATGAAATCTCCAACTACCCTCAAGGCCTTGTATTGGTTCCTCGTGGAACAGACGACAGTAGTGTTGTTGCGGGTTCGCATATACGAGGTAGACGTTTGCGAGCATCAGCTGCAGGTGATGAGGAAGTAGATCTTCTCCTTCCGGGTACAGCAAGGTATGATGTCCTAACATGTCATGTCGGTTATTATATTGCAATATCCCAAAATTTATTCGTTGTTGCCTGGATCTGGGTAGTTTATTTGTATAAACCCTCCCAGAAGTGCTCATAGAAACAGAATGGCGTGACAATACAAAAATGTAGTCACCTTAAAATGTTGGGGAACCTGATAAACTTGTTGCGTGCTAGAATAGTTATGAAGAAATTCTTTCTTGCAATGCCTTGTATTAGAAGAAAATTACAGTTGTCTCATACACTCTTATAGCCATAATTTCTTAGTCTAAATTGAGAGAGGAAATTACAGTTGTGACTACGCGTACATGTGCACAAATTGGCTATATATTGTGATTCTAATGCCAGCGTGTGAGCTTTAATTCTTCATCTTTTATCTTTTAGGGGATAACTTTTATCTTTCTTTTTTTTTATTTCTCGAACAGATTCCAGATCCAGCTTGGTGTGAACATGCCAGCGAGGGCTGACCAGATTCCTGGTAACGAAGAAAACATGTTCCATGAAGCATATGATGTTGTCCTATACCTGGGAATCATTGACATTTTGCAAGAATATAACACGACTAAGAAGTTTGAACATGCCTATAAATCACTTCAGTTTGATTCTCTATCCATATCGGCCGTCGACCCTACATTCTACTCACAGCGGTTCTTAGATTTCATTCGGAAGGTATTTCCTCGGAATTCCATGAAAACTTGACACAAAGTTTTGGGGCCATAGTGCCCAAATGTTGTGAGAAATGAAGTGATTAGGGGATGTAGGACACCAGTCCAAAAACCCTCTGTGTCAGTGTTGCTGAAAATGCTTTGTTCAAGATCGGCACTTAGGAGCATTTTTAATCATGATGTTTATAGTGAGTATAGTTCCCTTCCATTGTTTATGATATTCTCCTGGAACACATATTCGATGCTTTGTTCTATCCTTTCGCACTTATCAAAATAATGGACAACAAAAGCAAGGTAGCCTGTAAAACTTTAATATGCTCTAATCCTTCTACTTTAAAGCTCTGAGCCATTACTCTTTCGATACTTGTCAGCCATTATTAGTTGATGTTACTCTTCTGATGTAACCATAAAATTTAGCGTCGTGATAAAAAGATCATAACATTTTACCTTCATATTTTAAAATTGTGCAAGAATTAAATGTAAAAGCACTAAATTGTTTATTATAAACGTAAAGGAGGTTTGTTGCTTTGCAATTAATAGGGTAGCATTGCAAGGCTATAAACTTATACAAGCTCCCCTTTTCAGCTAAGATACTAATGTCGAATTTGATGAAAAATAGGTATTTCATTCTAGCCTTGAAAACTTTCACTCTCAACTGCTCACGGCACAGTGGCAACAAAACTGTAGCCACAACACACAGCCTAGGCAAATTTCAAGGAACATCAGGTGTACCTAACAGCTTCCCTGTGAGGTTTGGGCACTAGTGGCGGCTTCAAAAACTCTCCAAGCCTCTGTTTCGGGGTCAGCTAGCTCCTGTGGGATCTGCACAATTCGAGTCAGAAACACACCTTTGAAAGGAAAATATTATATTTAGAAAATCTAGTCAAGACTAACCTTTCCATAAGTGTTTGTCTTTGTGGGAGAAGCTCCTTTCGCCAGTAACAATCGTATCACTTCTGCATGCTCACCTCTTGCTGCATGATGAAGAGGCTGATGCAAAGGAACACAGAATAGCCGTAAACAAGAATTATTATATGTTAAAAGCAGCTCTTCTTTTTATATGAACAAACAATCGGGTTAATTCAGGTTTCAAAAATTTTCAGGTCATTTGGTTTGAGTCAAATTTGAATTAGAGTCATTTCAGATCATTCTTGTTTGAGGCTTGAGTTTTCAGGTCAGTCATTATGGGTTTACTTGTTCAGCCCATTTTGGATTTGGACTATTTCAAGCTCAAACCAATTCAGGTCTAGGTTTGGTTGTTGATTTTTTATGGTCAAAACGGTCGGGTTTTCGGTTTTGTCAAGCAAGTGGGAGAAGAGTGCCAAATCGATTCCCATTTTCATTTAGTAAATAATTGACCAAGGTGCAATTGAATGAGAAACAAATCAGAATCAATTGAAATGAATCAAATTAGCTTTAGAGCCTAATCAACATCAAGCAAATAAACTGAACATACAGGCATTAGAATTCAAAATGGTTCGAGGGCCATTAGTATGAAGTACTCACAGTATCACCTTCGGCATCAACTGAATCTAGTATTCTTTTCAGACATCCACTGTCAGTGGCTCTGTCAAGTAGAAGTTGCACTATCTCGACAAATCCTGAAAACATCGATTGGGAAAGAAAAAATATGTCAGTACATAGTCAGAGATGGAAGATTCTAAATAAAATTGTACATCCTACCCCCGGCACAAGCATCATGCAAAGGAACTGCTCCATCTTCATCTTTGGCCTCCAAATTAGCCCCCCTTTCCAAAAGTATCTACAAGAGATCAAATCATCAATCATAAGGCTTTTGGTCTAGAAAAAAGCACATAAAAAATAGTGGTGAAAACAGCATAGGACACTGACTTGAACACAAGGCAGATAACCGTAAAGACAGGCAAGATGGAGAGCTGTATCACCATCTTCTGCAGGTTCATCGATGTTGCCATTCAAGTTGTCTATACAATCAAGTGAACAATAAAAACATCATTAGGAGATATAGTAGACAAAGAACACTTTAATGTCATGTTACACAGATTTCGGTGCAAGTGACAATACATGTATGATCAGATTCTTTAAAATTTTTCATGTATTTGGAGGATCTATGGAGATTATATCCACATATTCATGTATCAGACACAAGTATTTAAACAAAAATGAAGAGTAGGAGCAAAATAAATTTAATGTCCTCGTGAATCCAACTAAAATGATGAAAGAAAGAGCATAGTAGGTGTTCCATTCTGAAAAAAAAATGTTTCGTTAAGGACCAAAGGGCATAAACACTTGACATAAATACTGGGAAACAAATCAAAAGTCTAAAAACAATCCGTCATACAATCTAGGAAGACACTTAAATAAGGTGTTATTCAAGATAAGAATTTTCTCAACTTCAGCTCCTTACATTTTAAATTTTCATATATGTATTACAAGCTATCAATAATATATAAAAAGCTTTTCATTTTTGAAGTGAAATTATATATGTAAAGCTTTCATTTCCAAGTCAGTAAGGATATATCAATCGTCTACTTCAATATAGCATTCAAAAACTGAAATTAACATCAAACATGCTTCTTTACTTCATCTATTTCCTTTAGAGACTTCCATCATGTTCTTCCAATTTCTTGAAGAGACTACCCAAAAATCCCTAATTATATTAATGAGTAATAACTATTCTCACACCAGCATTAACCCGGAGAACCACAGTCAGTAAAAAAAAAAGAGAACTTCCAAAAACTAACCTTTTTAAATTTCAAAGAGTGATAAAATCCCAAAGGGAGAAAGGAAAGTAAAAGTTTGTAACATTAAATTTTAACAGATGAAGCTCAAACAAACAGAAAAAAAGGAGTTAAAATTATGAAATGAGGAAAATGAAACCTAGGGCGAGGCGAAGAGCGTTGAGGTCGCCGAGCTGGACAGCGGCGACAAGGTCGCGGAGGTGCGGCGGGGTATCGGCTTCAAGGTCAATCTCGAGACCGTTTTCTTCAAAAAGAGCGTTGTCATCGTCTTCATCTTCTTCAAACATGTGTCTTCCTGGAACCGCCATTGTCTTCTTCCCTTTCTTTCGATTTCTCTGTTTCTGGTTTGTACAGCGAATCAACTCAGGTCTACTATTATTTTTTTTTTAGAGTGCGTTTGGTTAAGTATTAGATTATTGAGAATGTTGTATTTTTTGTTTGGTTGGTTTAGTAAGAACGTAAGATTATCTTATTTGGTTAAAAAAATAAAAGATTATTGGAATGTATATTTAATCAAATTGTCCTTATTATATATTTATTTTTTTAATAAGTTAGAAACTATATATATATTTTTTAAAAAAAAAATTAAATTCATAGAATTTATATTTTTTTACAAAATTGAAAATATAAAAAGGTTTAATGAAATTGTAACATTTTATTTTAACTTTTGAACTTCATATAAAATTTTAATTATAAATCTTTTTTTGTAAATCTAAAATAGTTTAAGGATACATTTGTAATTTAACATTCGTAGAATTTTTATTATTCAATGATAGAATAATGATATTTTTGAAAAAAAATTAAGGGCATTTTAGTCCAAAACATCAGTAATCCAACAATACCTAAGGAAAGGGAGGTAATGACATTCCCGGTAATATACCCCAAAAAATATACTATTGGTAATAAAACATTACCGGGAATGAGATTCTCGACTAACCAAACATGAGAATGTAGATTTCATTCCTATGAGAATCCCATATTCCTTATACCAAACAACCCCTTATAGGCTTAATTATAAAATAAGTATACAAATTATATGGTTTTTCACCAATATGAGTTAAAATATTTTTTTTTGAATAATTTAAAATTTTAGTGTTACAAACTTTATTATTTTAGGTACTTGAGTCGTAACTACGTTAATTTTTTTGTTAAGTGATGTGTCACATTATGATAATTTTAAAATTGATTTATTTTTATAATTAAAAATATTATTATATTTATAAAAACTCTAATTTCTCTTAAATTATAAAAACCCTAAATCATTAAAAAATTTAAATCTTAACCCTAATTCTCCACAGTCACCCTTTAAGGCCGTGATCAATGCCGTCGACGTACTTCCTGCCATCCTCCTAGTCACATATAGTCGTAGTTACCACCATTAGCCGTTGGAATGAAGTGAGATCGCGATTTTCATCTAGAGTTCGTGGGATACAAATCACCGATTGGTTATCGATCGATCACGATTTTATAGGGGTATTGATTGTTGGGGAGGTGAGATCGGGTGGAGCTTACCAGAGACAATTGATGAGATTGACGTGGAGTTTAGGGGTTGAAATGATGGTTTTTAAAGTTTTGGGGATATTTTAAAAAATCTGTGTTTTTAAATATTATTTTAGTTTTTTATTTTTAAATAAAATGGGTAAACTACATCATTTTTACTAAACTTTACTACCTCTCCTATTTACTCAATATGCTTTCAATTTTTCTAATTTACTACTGAACTTTGAAGTTATCTCTGTTTTGATCATTCCACCATTAAATAATTAACGATGTTATGACATGACATATGACATCAAAATGACATTATCTCTGTTATGAAATTATACATGACATGATATATGTTATAAGGAAAATCTATATTACAATGACAAAAATAGGCCCAATTCTGTTAGAGCCCAACAACCACTAACCTATCAGTATTTAGGGTTTTTATCTTTTCTCCTAAGCAGCCGTCAGTCACATGTTGTTGGATCTAAACATAACCAACATATAACACCCCAAATTTTGGTCAGTGACTAAAATATATGTTTTGAAAGTTTAATGGTCAAAGTATAAAGTTGCAGCATTAAAAATTTAATTTTTAAAAGTTATATATTTTGGCCTGTAAATAAATAGTTTAGTTCGAAATTAAAATTTTTTGGGAATCAGAATTTTGATTCAGGAATTGTATTAAAGTCAGATAAAGAAACGGATCATCAGATTGGACCAAAATTTCACAAAAATTTGAAGGAAGATAGAGAAGGGCTAGAAATATTATTTCCATAATTTATAACAGTAAAACTTAACATGGAACAATGGGATTAAGTGGAATTTCCATGTTAATGTGGAATAGTGAGTTTTAGTGACTAAATTGAATTTTTGGAAAATTGAAAAGGAAAAGATAAAAATTAGTAAATAATATTTTTATATTTATTTAATGTTATTAAAATAGATATAAAAGGGTTGCATGGATCTAATTATCTGTAACCCCCTCAGACCGATGCGGGTGACATAATTCGATCTGAGGTGTCACAATAGGGCTACCAGAGCGACCCACCGTAAAAATCTCATAAAATTCAAAACTTTTATTAAAACATGTAAACTCATAAAATGATTTATGAATACAAAATAAAATTTATCAGTATTCAGAAATAAAATAGATTTTCAGACTCGTATATAAAACAAAATACAACCTACATGCCCCCTAATCACATGTACAATACTCTGCAAGCAACGCCGGAGGAACTCCCATACTGATGTCGATAACTACACTGGTACGATTCTTTTAACATGTAATGGTGAGTAACAGAGTGAACTTTGGAAAGCTCAGTAATACATAACTACCAGATGATACTGAAGAACGTGCAAATAACAGATAAGCATATATTTCCTTATTGGTTCAGACATCTACAGATTTTTAGGCTGAGATGAGGTCCCATTGATATCTCAGGTAGTAACAGACAACAAGCTTTCAGTTCAGAGGGAAATATTTTGGATAACTGGGTTCAGGAGATCAGAACAAGTTATCTAGTGTGTTCCTATAAAACCAGTGAAAATATACAGATATTTTTAAAACATATTTTTTTCAAAGACCATAGTAATCCCTCCAACCAAACACCAGAATGTGTAGGTTCCCCAGAACCATACACCTACCTGTACACTCGATAAGGGCTTACCCTGTGCACAAAGTAGAGGAGCCTATGGTAAGGTCTTATTCTGTGCACAATGCAGAGGAGCTTGCGGTAAATGGTAAGGACTTACCCTTACACATAGCAGAGGATCTAGGAAAACTGTAAGGATTTACCCTTGCACATAGCAGAGAAGCCTGCGGTAACGGTAATGACTTGCCCTTTCATATAGCAGAGGAGCTTGCGGTAACGGTAAGGACTTACCCTTGCACATAGCAGAGGAGCCTACGGTAACGGTAAGGACTTACCCTTGCACATAGCAGAGGAACCTACGGTAACGATAAAGAGTTACCCTTGCACATAGCAGAGAAGCGTGCGATAACAGTAAGGATTTACAAGTCATAGACTAGGCCTGAAATACTTCATCCAATCATACCCCCAATGAAAATAATAAACATGTATGTATTGGAGTGAAAACGGTAATTAATCCATTAAAATATGAAAATGGTCCATATTCAAAAATAAGGTATAAAAATATCGTAACCAGAAATCATATCAGAAATATGCAGTAAATCAGATATCAAAATAAATTGTATTCAGAACATCGAGTATTGTCTCATAAAAATATTATGTATGTGATTTATCAGGATCATATAAAACATGGTTGTCCCTTTTTCCCATATATATATGGGGTAAGGGGGAGGTAAGATAGTAGGCTACCCCCAACACCAGGTTGAGAGCAGCTTCCGTAAGAGACCTCCGAATTATGAAATACCCTCCGTGGGACTCGATCCCACGACCTCAAGGTTAAGAACCTTGTGCTCTACCAACTGAGCTGGATGGTCATTTCATCAGGATCATATACTATTCGGATATTTTTCGGAGGCTCTAAGTAATCAGAAGGGTATTCAGAATCCTTTGCATATGAGTTACTTGTGTGTTTAGATATGACCGGAGTGATTCTATTATTCAGGAAAATCAAAAGCATTTTGGGTATTAGATTCTTGGAGAACTCATAGTGATTTGAATTGATAAGGGAGAAAAGAAGATTTTAAAATCTATGTCGATTGATCGGATTATTGAACAACTTGAGTTAAACAACTTCCAGAACTGATGCTTGTTGACTGGTCGATTCATTGCCCTTCCAGGGTATTCACTCTTTAATACTTAAAATTCTTGTATGTAGATTATCTTAATAATCATAGCTGAATATATCTTAAGGAGACGAACAAATATTCCAATTATCTTTATTTTATTTCCACGTTTCAACTATATCAAGAAATATCGACGTACTTGATTTGTGGTTAATAACCTATAGGGATGGTACATCATGTAAGTTCATTCGAGTTCCCAGACTTATCCAAATCACTTACTTAATCCTCAATCATTGAGGTTACTTAGTTCATTTAGTAGTCAAGTCTATCACGGTTACTTCAGAGTTTTACAGAGTAACTCGAATGTTTCTGAATCTCAGATACATATTGTACTTCCTTTCAGTTCAATTTGGTTATATAATAACGTCATTTTGTTGCTCAGCATTATTTCAATCATTTCAGAGCTTGAGGATATCCAATCATTCATGGGCTTGGTGATATACTCATGTTATTTCCATTCCAGGGGTATTTTGGTCATTTTACATATTCAGGGTATTTTAATCCTCCCCTTCCGTCCAATCTTATTATTTCATTCAAACTTATCATCTATTTCAGTCCTTTCGAACAATTCTGACAAAAGAGCACGCTCGAAAAATTATTCTTCATGTATTTACTCATAACTCAGATATTTACTGATTATCAAGAAATTTCTGAACAAAAGTAGGATCTTAACTATTAAATCAGTAATTTATCGAGTTAGGTATGAATTCTTAGGGTAGTTTCTCATTCAGAGTCAACTAGGACTATTTTTACCTCTAAAGAGAATTTTTGTAATTTCTTAATCAGATAACTTCGATATTAACTCTTAATGAGGATTATTATAATTTAGAGATTCTAGGGTTAGTCATTTTATGGGATAATCTCTAAACTTGAAATTATTCCGTATCAAACTTCTAGTATCTTGTACAAGCCATCTTGAGTTTAGAAATCGGTTATTCAGTTTTTAAGCAAAACTAGCATTTTCTATGCACATCAGTAGTTTCATCGGATCAATATGTCTTTCCAGAGTTATTATCCAACTTCCATGGATAATTCTTGTATTTTTACAATATATGGGTATTTTTATAATTTTAGCTAACCGAAGTATTCTCATAATTTCTC